GGGGCTTGGGTGCTGGCAGCCCACGTTTTGGTGGGTTTTCCACGGTACGTCTGTCCAGCATCCCACCTAGCTCACTGACGTCACTGGTTGCCAGGAGCTGGGTGGAATACCAGCCAGAGTGACCCTCTCAACTCCTGGCAACCAGTGACATCAGTGAGCTGGGCAGGATGTCAGCCAGAGCGTCACAGGTTGCTAAGAACTCTTAGCAACCTAGGATGCTCTGGCCAGAAAGGGGGCGGCAAGTGTACCCCCACGTGACATGAGTGAGAAAGTGCACCTAGCATGCGCTGTGTGCTAAATGCATGGATACCGTGCCTTTAAAACAGTGGTGGGAGGTTGCATCTACCAGTGCCCACCCAAAACATCCACCATGTCCCTTCTGCAATCTGCAATGCTTAGTTTTACTGAAAAGCATTGTTGATTGGATGTGTTGGAATAGAGATCAAGACTGCCGTGCATTGTGTGAGAGCAGCGTAAAACTTTTTGTTGAGAAATCTTTTTGACAAATCTTTGATTATCAGGTTTTTTTTAATACTCCGATGTGACTATTATTTGAGTAGATCTTCTTTTTGCAAGAGCGCTTATATAAAATCTTTGTCGGCTATCGTTAAGCGTTTCAGCAGGAACAGACTCATTTGATATTTTGTCTTGTTCATAGAATACTAATGTATTAGCGATTCACACCATACAGACATTGTACTCTTAGAGAAAAGGAAATTGTTGTTGTAATTTTTTTTTTTTATATATATAACTTTCAGACTCTTTTGTGTGTGTTTTTTTTTTCTTTTAGCTCTTTATTCCCAAAAGATGAACATCTTCTCTGATGTGCTTAATAACGGCCTCGCATCATGCTGCGATAAAATGGCCTGTTTATTAACAGCAGAAAATTACTTTTTCTGTGTGCAGTTGTCAGAAACATTTTGTGAAGCAGAAGGAACTGTCTGGATTCTGTGATCTGTTCTTCATCAAAAGGAAGCTAAAGATTTCAGGTGGCAGTTGGCTAACCTGAGAACTAAAGTGGTGATATCAGTGGTGCCGCAGATGCCGCCGTCCACTGTCAGGAAATGATCAGTAGGGCAGGTTACAACATTTGCAATTGTATGTCCCTAGCTGGGCTGGCAGTTTTTTTTCCCTCCTGCCCCACGCTTCTCCTTGTTCATGTGTCATCACCAGTGTTCAAGAAGCCCTGCCATTGGTAAAGAGACATTCCACTAATATAAGCAAGTAGATACTTATTTTTTCTACTGCCTGCACCCCAGAACACCGCTCTGTAGAAATCTTTCTACAAAGTCCTCAGGATTACCAAAGCTTCTGGGACTGTCGATCTCCTGGGTCCTCTTCTCTGGTACCTTCTGCTTACCTCCATTCACACCATTACTGCATTCTGTAATGAGTGGAATGGGTGGAGGTTGGCGGAGGTTGGCAAGACGAGCCTGTGAAGAACCCAGGAGATTGACACTCCTATTACTCAACTTATTTTTGCTGCATACTAAAAAAATAACAGTACTATTGTTTGCCTTTAGGTCTACGTTAACAAAAAAATACACACATTGCCTTGTCCCAATGAAATAGTGAGCTAAAGGTTTAGGAAATACACCAGCGTATACTGTAACTATGTATTTTGAGCAATAGGTGCTGTAGTGCAATGTTAATCTCTATGCTTATGCATGTTTTATCTATGATCTACACAGGTTCTCTCTGTATCTCTGTATGCTATATAATGCTGTATTCTGATTTAATGTCCTTATAAGCAAGTAAAACTTGATTCAACATTCCTCAAGATCTCAGTGCTTCATCTAAACACATAACCAACAAAGGGGAGTCAACAGGCAAGATTTAGGAACCAAGAAGGGTGATTCTGTTGCCAAAAAAAACGCACCGGCTGTAATTTGTTAGGAGCTGTGTTTTTAGGAGCTCCAGATTAATCTATCTATCTATCTGTCTGTCTGTCCATCAATTAATCTATCTACCGGCCACCTGGCCATTACACCTGTATGAGCTTGTTAGACATCCCATTTCAAAACTCCCCTTCACAGTCGTAACAGCCTCCATGCCTCCGGGAAGGCTTTCCACAAGATTCTGGAGTGTGTCTGTGGGAATTTGTGCCCATTTAGCCTAAATAGCTACGGTCATGTGGTCATTTACTGATGTTAGACTTGAAGATCTGGCTTGCACTTGGAATTCCATTTTTCCAATTCAACATTCAGTGTGGATGAGATGAGATCAGGTCAGGGCACTTGAGTTTTCTTCCACAACAAACTCATCAAACCATGTCTTTATGGAGCTGGCTTTATGCACAGGGACACAGTCATGCTGAAAAATAAACGGGCCTTCACCAAACTGTTACCACAAGGTTGGAAGTTTACAGTTGTCTAAAATGTCACTGTATGGTGTAGCGTACATCTCAGATATCACCCAGACCATCTACTCTGCACCTCCCAAGTCCTTCTTCTCCCTAGCCCCCTCATCAGCTTCTCCAATGCTCACCTCCAGGACTTCCCCAGAGCCTCTTCCATCTCTTTCTCATCTCAATCTACATCTCATATTCTGTATCTTTGTTGTCTATAGCAACCAATCAGTTTTCTAACAGTGATAAATCTACGTTAAAAAAAAAGGACTAATTCTAATTGCCCATTATGACTTTTTACCACCCTTTTTTCACTTGCCTAGAATTCCCCTCTATGTGACCTTTATATGAAAGTTCGGCTTATGCTACATTCTGAAGGAGTTAATTGCATGAGCTTCTCAGCAACTTATTTCTGCTATAACGTTCCCTAACATCTAATGATTTCTCACTGGGTGTCACTTGGTCATTTAGATGAGAATCATATCATTTACGAGCTGTATTAAATAGTGCTAATTAAATACACTAGCACTTCCGAAAGCTGTCATCTTCGTTCATGTCCAATTCCCGGGGTGGCAGGTGCCACGCTAAGACCCACGAAGGAGAAAATATCGAGACGTTAGTCTCAGGGCTGGCTGACCTCAATCTGAGAAGGATGATTAGATGTAAGAGACAGCCTGGTCTTCTTGCTCTCTCTTATCCCTTACATCGTATTTTTAGAGAAATGTCATGACCTGTTCTTCTTCCCTTTCACCCAGAAGGCAATTAGTGTATTTGTATCACGCAGCATATTAACATACTGTGAACGGAAGGGACATAACAAATCATTCTAAAGTTTGCTTAGGAGAAAATAAACTTGACATATGTTATTCCGAGAGGATTTATGAACATCATGACTGCCCATGGTAATACGGAGAATGAATGTGCCAGTTCACTTATAACAGTCTGTTGGCATATAAACTGTGTGTTCTTTATTGTCTCAATTATTTGTCCATTCTGCCCACTTATTTGTCCATTCTCCCTGTGTCCTTCGATTTGCTCTGGGTGACCAGTAAGCACACACGTTTGGTCTTATTGAACTTCTGAAACAATAAACTTCCCTGCATCAATCTAATCAGTTAATTTCAAGTCTAAAGTTTATTGGATCTTCTACTACCTATCTAAGAATACCTTCAGTGCCACCTAAGAACGCCTTCAGTGCCACCTAAGAACGCCTTCAGTGCCCCTACAACTCTATTAGACATGTAAGCTGCAGAGAAATTCGGTGCGGATATTTGGTTCTTTCTGAAATTCGGATCCGAAATTCAATTCGGTTCGGGTTTCGGATTTGGACGAAATCCGAATTTTCGTTAGTTTCAGATGAGTTTACAAATATTTGTTGCGAATACCACAGGAAACCATATACAGATATTAATATTAAAGCTGAATCTTCTAGATTCGGGATCCGAATTTCCGAGTTGCATTCAGGAGCCCCCAAATGCCATTCAGGTCTAGGAGCCTCAGCTTTAGTCATATATGTATAGGGCTCCAAGACCTGAATGGCATTTGGGATCCGCATTTATGAACTGCATTCGGGAGCTCCCGTATGCGATTCGGGTCTGGGAGCCATATACATATTTTACTAAAGCTGAGGCTCCCAGACCCAAATGACATTCCGGAGCTCCTGAAGGCAATTCAGAAATTTGGATCCCAAATGCCATTCGGGTCTAGGAGCCTCAGCTTTAGTATTGTATGTATATACTGTATATGGCTCACATGTTGCCATAACGAAAATTCATTTTCTGACCTATTCTGATGCATTAAACCGAAAAACACATCTGATTGGCCAGAAAAGTCACATGCCCGATTCAGTTTAGTTTTTGAACAAAATTCGGACAGGATCCGAAATTTGTAAACGGAAATTCGGATTCGGACACATTCGGATGCATTGGGAGTCGGTTATTCAGATATGTCCAAATGTTCGAATTTCTGAAAATTTGTTTGAATTTTGATTTGGAACTAAACCAATCGCACATGTCTAAACTCTATTTCCTCTTCTCTTTCCTTAGGGGACCTCTTCTTTTCTCTACCTATACCTCCTCCTTTGGTCAGTTGATTGCCTCTCATGGCTTTCAATACCATCTCTAAGTTGAGATCTCTATTCGCTTTTCTGCTTGTTATTATGTGCTGTAAATACTTTCATGTCCGTAGTCTGAGCACAGGTTCACTTTAAAAAATGAAAATCCTTACAGCTAGCTATGTTATATGCGATTTGTTGTTTGATAATTATTATTGAACATTTACTGTTAGTAGTAAGTAACAATGGCCACTGAAATCCAAATGAAAGAAGCATGTATTTCCTTCTTCTTTTTGTAGAATATGGTGGAATGGGTTTGGACTTTTCATACAGTATCGCCATTGCAGAAGAACTTGGCAATATTAATTGTGGCGGGATACCGATGGCCATAGGAGTTCAGTCTGACATGGCGACCCCAGCACTGGCAAGGTACTGACAAGCTTGTGATTCATTTTATTATTTTGTTGATATCATTTAATTATCATTTTATTTATTTTTTGTTCATCCAGAAGTCACATAACAACTCAGCTATATTAACTATATTACAATTTGTATGAATAGGTTAAAGCTGACCTGCTAACAAGCCACTAACTGTTTAATTCTGTGCGGCCTTTCAACAGTAGCCCAAAGGTTGTTTTTCTTGAATAATGTGGGAAAGTTTAGAACTAGTGTAGAAATTCTAAATTGGGGCAAACTCAGAATCAACCCAAATTTCCAAAGTGTAAATTCAGTTTAATTTTCTAATTCAAGCCAGTGTCATTTCATGGTCACCTCTGGCCACCTGGAGGGCTGCTAACAAACAATTGTCACCCATATGGCAAAAGAAAAAAGCTATGCACAGCACTGGGGAGCCTTTGATAATGCGAGAAATTAAAAAAGGGATACATTGGGGCAAGAAGCTGTTTTATATGGCTTTGAGGGAATCATTGGAAGCACAGTGTCCCTAGACTTTTAGCCACCTGAGGCTGGGAGGGTTGGTGCTGGATGGTGCATGCAATCAGAATGTGGGGGCACCCTAACCCTAAGAGCCAGATGGGGAGATGTGTAAGGGCTTTGCATCTCCCCACCCAGCTCTTAGCAACCTGCAATGCTCTGACTGGCGTCCCGCCAAGCTCTTGGCAACCAGTGATATCAGTGGTTGCCATGAGCTCAGCTGTGTGCCAGCAAGAGCATCCTAGGTTGCTTAGTGCTGGGTGGGGTTATGTGTATGGCCCTTACATATCTCCCCATCCAGCTCTTAGAAACCAGGGAGGCTCTGGCCAGAAAGGGAATGGCAGGCACACTGCAAACATTGTGTCAAATAGATGCCGCCTGAGGCAACAACCTCAGGCTGCCTCATTAAATGGACGGCCTTGATGGGAAGTGAACAAATCCTTTAACATTGTAGGTTTGAAGACTGGCTTAAAGAACAGTGTTGCAACCCATATTTGGATGTGGATTTGAAAATTGTTTTTTTTTGTTTAGCACAGAGAGCTGTGCAGTAACAGAATGAGCATATCATTGTAACCATAGCTATGCCTGTAGTACCAATGGTTACATTTACATGTTCATTCCTTCCAGCAGTCTCTAACATTGTATCTCATCACCAATGTATTTATTTCCTATGATCCCCAGCTCCATCTAGTGGCCATAATGCGGTATTTTCCCCATTCACTCTCTTCTTTATGAATATGCCTGTTAAAGGACATTTGACCAGAAGAGAAATTACACCAAGAGCATTCGTTTTTGTTGCAGTCTCCCAATAGTTGGTTAACTTGCACAGAATGAATGTACAAATATTATTGTATTAAATAGACCCCTAATTATTTAATATACGTCAATTATCCAAGTCTTCAAGTTTAGCAGAGGTGCTCCCAAGCCTAAAGAAGCACATCAGTCGATCTTCTATAGCAAAATAACCAGAATAACACACCAAGCACAATAAAACCAGTGTCTCCAATAGGGTGATTTTCCCCTCACTTCCTGTCTGACCAGGCAGAAGGACCAGTGGAAAGAAAGACATAGAGGGCAATAGAAACCTGGCTGAGGTTCTAATGCACTGATACCCTTTTTTCGGTATCGAGTACCGATATTTTACTTTCGGTACTTATTGATACTGAGTACCGTTGCCAGTGCTTCCGTTTGCATGCTGGGTTCCTGGGCAATCAGGAAGCCGGGTGGCGGGTAATTACATGCCGCCCAGCTTCCTGATTGCCCAGGAATCTGGCTCCATATTGTTTGGCCGGCTCGACTGTAATTGGCCTGGAAACCGGCTTCCCAGCCAATCAGCGTGGAGTCGGCTTCCTGGCCAATCCGGAACCAGGTGGCGAGCAATGACCCGCCTCCCGGCTTCCTGATTGGCCGGGAAGCCGGCTCCATGCTGATTGGCTGGAAAGCCAGGTTTCCAGCCAACTGTTTGGCTAGCTTGATGCTGATTGACCAGGAAGCCAGCTTCCTAGCCAATCAGCAAGGAGCCGGTTGTTCGGCCGGCTCGATGCTGATTGGCCGGGAAGTGGGCTTCCCAGCCAATCCGCGTGGAGCCGGCTTCCCGCCAATCAGGAAACTGTGAGGTGGGTCATTACTCGCCACCCGGCTTCCTGATTGCCCAGGAAGCTGGCTCCATGTTCCCCTAAGGCACTGCTGAAATCTTCCTCTAAACGGAAGTTCCGGTATCGGGGAAGTTATCGGAGCATTTGGTCTAGTTCTAAGACTTTTGTTTTTACTCTATCCAAAAAAAAACAACCTTTTATCTGGAGTTGGGCTTTCAGTTCTTTGAGCCAGGTTTCTTCACATACAAACAAACCCTCCACGTTCAACGGAGGAGAAAAAACAATATTGGTTCTTTAAATAATTGAAGCCGTTGGGTTGGCTGGTCATCCGTCAGCCCGCTGCTGGGCTTTCAGTAAAACAAATCAAGCCTATGACTCGGGCCCGGTGCCAGGCTCTTGGCCTCTGAGAGTGCCCATCTTTCTAGCAATAATTGCCATAAAGCTTGCCCACGGGAGACGGCTTAAAAAGCCGATTGACTAATGTTTCATCCAAAGTGATTACTTTGTTTCATTAAAGGGATTGCTCGCCTTCTCTGTTGTCGAGGCCGTTTAGCGGTTTTACAATCCGGCTTATATAGATGTGTTTCTGCCGAGTGCCAAGTTACTGGTTGTTTGACTCCACCACATCCCCTTAGAAATTCAGAATTACTTACCCAGAAACATGTTTGTTTTTTTTAACCACTTGCAGTCCGGCCGTTGTAATTAAAAGGCCGGACAGCTGCTTCTTGGATGCGGGTGGCCGGGGGGGACAGGACGCTTGAACAGTGTTTACAGCCAGTGACGGCTGCTACATGCAAGCGTTCGGGCTGCTATAGAGCTGCCTGATCACTTGTATTGTGCGGAGAAGTGTGCTTTCTGCTATCCCGGGCTCCATTGTCCCCCGTGCGGGCCCAGTCCTCTGAGTGCAGACATACACCGATCTCTGTACAGCAATGGATTATGGGAGGAGGGAGCTTACTGATATCATGTGACCAGCACACCAAGAAGTCAAACAGCTGTAGGAGGCCTTATTGGTTTGGCATGATCCATGTAGAGTAGGCTTCATTCATAAGTCTGGTTGGATTGAATTGGCAAATGGCAACCGCATACATAAAACCATTGAAAGAAGATATCGCAAATTAACCACTGCAGTACCGACATGTTACAGCCCCTTCATTACCAGGCCATTTATCAATTTTCAGAGCTGTGCAAGTTGGGCTGAGAATGTTTTCATTACGCAACACTGTAACAAAGTTAATTTGATATCATAGTTTGGGGGACTAATAAAGCTTTCTTTTGGTGATATTTAAATATCCATTTTCATTCATTTTAACTTATGGAGTGCTGGTGACCTATTTTCTTCAATCTTGTGTTTCTATTTCATTTATACATCATAGCAAATAAAAATGTCAGGACAGTAAGAAAATCCCCGACAATGACCCCTTTTTGCACTCCCAGGTGATCTGATATTTTTCTGCTGCAATTTTTTTTTAAATGAAGAAACGAGGAGGAGGGGGTGAACAGGTTAATGCACAGGTCACACACAGTGGGAGGATGGAGGTGAAGGGGTTAATGTATAGATGTGCAGGATAGATAGGTAGGTATGTATGTATGTATGTATGTATGTATGTATGTATGTATGTGAGATAGGGACCTCAGATTGTCAGCTCCTTGAGGGCAGGGACTGATGTGTACTGTGTAAAGCGCTGTGTATAATTGTTGGCGCTATATAAATACCAATAGTAAATAAATGTGCAGGGTGAGGTAGGTGAAAGGGTTAATATACAGGTCAGCACATAGATCGAATGGATCTAACATAAGCCGGAGAAGAGAGGGGTCAAAAGGGTAAAAATACGTTGAAAAATGTTGGTGTTTTTTTTGCTGCTACTGCAGCTTGTTTTCACTTGTAAGTAATGAATGGATGGCTGGTCCATTCATTACCATTACTCACTTTACTCTCCCCTGCCTCTGATTGTAAGGGGAAGGGGAAGGCTTGGCAATGTAAACCTTGCCATGTGATTGCTGTAATACCAGCAATCACATGGCAAGTACAGCTATGGGTCACTATGGTCACTATAGGTCACTATGTCGCCCAGAAGAAGGGACCCTGCGTGGCCCCGAAGCATTGGCTGTTTGACACATGTGACAATTGAATAAAAAGTGCTTGCACATATCATCGAGTGCTGGTGACTTCTATTATGGACTGTATCTGACAGAGTGCCATCCGTGTTGTCACTTCAAGCACCAACCTCTTACTCAAGGTCTGTACGCTGCATGGCGTGCAGGTGATTTCGTATTATCGATTGTTGTGATAACCAATCACAACGATCACAGGACACAGAGCCAGCTCTGTGTGTAAGGTGTGTGAATGAGCTGGATGCCCGGGTGGTCTAACAGCAGCAGCAGCAGCAGCGGCCGCATGGACACAGACCGGCCGTTTTAATACAGTGGCAGGTCCGCAGGTGGTTAAACAAAAACAAATCACTCAAATTAATGCACATTTTTGCACGTGCCGGAATCCCAACGGATGAGACGCAGTGACTGCTCTCTTTCCAAAAAGTTTCATTTCCGAAACTTTCCTTTTTTTAACGAGGCGCGTTTATAACAAGTTCCAGCACGCCGAGTGAACTTTGTTGATACAAACGGCATAATAGAGTTTTTGCGATTCGTTAATCTGCTTGAGAAATGGGAGAGCAAAATAATGGCTTGTGTTGGCCCGGGCATCCAGCTCATTCACACACCTTAAAGGAACTGGAAATGTGAAAATAAATTGAAGATGTTTGAAGGAGATACTCCGCAAAATGACATTCGCCGTTCCGCCATGGAAGTGTGCCGTCGCAGCTTGCTTTAAAAAAAATAAGAAAGACCGGGCCGTTCTCATCCTGTAATTTAGACGTGTTATCCGCGCCTTCTCTTATTTTAAAGGTCAAATCTGCAGCGGCCATTTGCATAATGCCGCCGACACTGCAGAGTAAGTGAAAATTACTCATGCAAAGCAATGTGGAGACATGTCTGATTTATAAACGCTCCTGCCTAACTGCTGAAGGCAGATGAGAAAAAGTTTTGCCTGTATGTATTAAAAAATTGTAAAATCATTTTATGGGCTGTATTTTGGGGATCTGCTTTTATTCCTTCTTGATGTATATTAACCCCTTAATAATGAAGCTAAAGACACTTTAAAGCCTGAACCCAGTTTTGCAACTTTGACATGTGTTGGTAAAACTGTACTTGTGTTCGGAATCTCGCGGGCCCCGCATGTTGCCCCGCTTTGTACGTGATATACACCAAGGCCATGTTGACCTCCCTACCCCACACAACCTGAGGTGTGCCATGATTTTCATGGTCAGTACGCCAAATAAGGGAGCGTACTCTAGTAAGCTTTGAGTAATACTAATAATAATAATGGGGATGGGTGGGAGGGTACGCCGGAGGTCAGCAGCAGATGCGTCCACCTTTCCCTCTGTGTTTAAGGGCCCTGGAGGCTCCGACTCCTCCCACAAACTCGGCTAATGTTATTAGCCTCAAACTTATTTTTGCAACAGGGGCGTAACTAGAAATCGCAGGGCCACATAGCAAAATTTTATATGGGGCCCTGTGATTTCCAGTTATGCCCCTTGCAGAGCCCACCTAATATCCCAAACAGCCCACCTGAGAGTGACCGTGCAGAGCCTGCCATAGACTCTCTATAGTGGGCTCTGCAGGGTCTCAGGTGGGCTGGTCACACCCCTGCACACTTCTTACCTGTCAGCCCCGATCCGTTGTTAGCCTCCTCCACTGCCGGCCCCGCCTTCCCCACTCTACCCAAAACTAAGAAAAAGGTGGCTTGGTGACCCTAGAGATGCCCTTTACAGGTAACATGTCAGGTCATTTATAGCACTTCCAAAGTGTAGAGATCTCAACTGTCTATTAACCTGATTTGCCGGAATTCAGTTTTTCCGAGTTTAGGCCTATGTGCAGAGTTTAGGCCTATGTGCAGAGTTTAGGCTTGCCTTAAAGCGGACAGCTAGTGTTTACAACAGTGACCATATATTGCAATATGGACACACTGAACATGAAGGTTGAATCAGTGGAAAAGAATTGACATCATACGTAGAATTATATTGAGGAAATAGTAGCGATCTTCTCAAATGTATCTCATCATTAAAGAGCAATCCGGAATCGTCCACCAATGCCCAACGCCATAACTAGCATTTGTCTACAACTACTCTCATTCTGTCCCACATGATGCTTTATTGGACATTTCTAGGTCATCGGCGCTCAGTCCCTAGTACATGGACTGTGTATACATACTTTGCCAAAGCTCATCCTCCTTCTCATGTTACAGATTTGGAAGTGATGAGCTGAAACGCCAGTTCCTGGCACCGACCGTAGCCGGAGATGTGGTGGCATGCCTGGGGGTCAGTGAAGCTGGAGCTGGGTCTGATGTGGCAAGTAAGTGATACTGAAGGTTTAAACCTCGGAATTCCACTAATCACTAGCTATAAAGGGGTCATTGTTACAGACACACACTACAAGAAGCCATTTTTTGGGAATTAATGTGAGAATAAAGCTTTTCGGTTCATAGTTCAGTTCATGATTTTGCTAAATTTTGATTTATTCTCAGTAATGTCACCAGTCTCTAGGGAATGGATAGGCTGAATTCTCAATGATGTGCCCGGTCTATAGTGAAGGGATAGGCTGCATTCTCAGTGATGTCACCGGTCTCTAGTGAATGGATAGGCTGCATTCTCAGTGATGTCACCAATCTCTATGAATGGATAAGCTGCATTCCCAGTGATGGTCACCAATCTCTATGAATGGATAGGCTGATCTGATCTGTAACTTACTAATTGTCTAAACCTCCGAGATGTGACTTTTTTCCCTCATGTTCATCTACATATTTGATAACAGTAAAAATGTGCATTCTTCCGCTGTGTTTTGTTGTGCGGTTGCATGCACGTTGTGCTAGAGGACATTCAGTACACAATGCTGTCAACATCTGACTGTAATAAACTATCACTTTAATGTGTCATTGAGTGATTTACTGCTAACATTTACTGTACATACACTGACAATGTCATTGTGAATTCTGCTGATCTTTTGGTTTGCCACATCTTGTTGATAATTTACATATTTTACATTTGTATAATTAAGAGTACCGGCGCATAACCACAGAAAGGGCATTATTATAAGAGTAATTATATATGCTGCAACAATTACACTAGGCTAAGAATACCTGACATATAACAAAGGCAAGAAGCGATTACTGTGCCCTTCCAAGTGTAGCATTTGCATACAGTAAATTAAATAGTTTACTTAGAAGCCTAAGTCCAATCTCAGGCCTCAGGTATGTTGTGGTTTATTCTTATTTTATACATACCCTTTTCAGATGTTTTTAGGCCAGTTCTCTGCTAATGCAAAAAGAGGCACTGATGTAATGACACCAGCGCTGCTCTCTGCTTTACTACACTATAAATAAAGGGCGC